GCCACCCTAAAAAGGTTGATCCGACGGGACACAAGAGAAAGCCATGCCCTTCTATTCTGGGGGGGGGTTTATTATTATCGTTGTCGTTCTTATCAGTAGAAGAATTTGTAAGTTTAAAAAAATGTTCATATAACTCTAATGCTAATATAAATAGTGTGGCTGCGTCAACAGCATTGTTTAGTCGAGCGGATTCCCTTCCATATATGATACATTTTAATAGAAGAACTTTAACATTTTTGAATGGATTTTTTCTACTTCTTTTATCAACATCTTCGTTAGCATCTTCATCCATATCTGTGTCAACATCTTCATCAGCATCTTTATCCATATTTTGGTCAATATCTTCATAGTCTCCTAGGTCAAGTTTTCCCAAGTTATAATGTTCAAATAAATCATACATAAAGGTCGAAAGATATTGAGAAACTTCTTTTTCTTCTTCTAAAATGTCAAGTGATATTGATACTTTGAAATTTGGCAATTTTTTCAACTCATATTCTATCTCAGAGAAGAAACGTTCACGATCAAAAGTTAATTTCCACATAACGTGGTTATAAATAACTCTATTTCTATCATCGGCATACTTTTGTTTCTCTTCATCCGACCAAAATGAAAGTAGTAATATTTCTAAATTATCTGCTTTTTCTTTAAAATCTTTTTTTTTATCAAAAATCAAATTATTATCTATTTGTTTTCGCTGTTGTACTATATGACATTGTTTAAAAATATAATAGAAATTATGTAAAATAGTTTTTAATTGTATTCTTGAAATTGGTAATAATTGTTTCAAATTTTCTAATGTATGAAAATTTTCAATATTTGAATTGTTTAATTCTGAAAAAAAAACTTCAGACCATTGATATTGTCGAATATGAACTGAATTTAGTTCATATTTATAGGCATCAGCATATTTATGATCTTTTTCAGCATATTCACTTGCCACATGATATAATTTTATAGCTAATTCAAAACATTCAATTGTTGAATATAAATTAATTTTATCATCAAAATTTTCTGGTAATCTATCTAATTTTCCCATTTGACAATGTATACATCCAATATCAAGTTTTACTTTTATAATATCAATATTATCATTAGATAAATTAACACGTTGAATTTCCATTGCTTTTTCATATTGTTCAAGTGCTTGTCGATATTGTTGTTTATCTGTAAAAATTTTACCAATTAAAATATAACTTTTAGCTAAATTTGGATGATTATTTGATAAATATTTTAATTTTAAATCTCTTGTTTTATATGCATATTTAAATGCATTATCATATTGTTTCATTTTTATTAATTCATAGGCAATATTTTCATAAATAATTGATCGTTATTTAATCATATCATCATCTAAATCATTACCAAATTGTTTCATATCTTTTTCAAGTTTTAATAATAAATGTAAACTATTATCTTTATCACAATTAGCTAAAGCTAGATAAAGTTCAATTTTCATATATTGATTATTATCATCAACAAATTTTAATGCATTACAATAATAGTCACTTGCAATAGAAAATTTTTTTTCCATACTATATAAATTACCAAGTAAAATTGAAGAAATTAGATGATCATTTTTATCTTTCAAATTAGTTTGAGTTAAATATGAAAGAGCATTATCAATATCACCTTTTAGAGCGGATAATATACCAAGATTTAGTATACTTACTGATTCTTTTTCTTTAAAATATTCAATAGCTACATTATAAGATCCATGGATAAGATCATTAATTACATATTCATTATTATTATTTAAATAGATCATTGGTCGAATACCTTTTCTCCAATATTCCATTGCTAGATCATAACGTCTATACTCAGTATAAAAACCATCCAATGTCTTATTAACAAAAAAGCTTGCCAGTAAATTCAATATTTCTAATTCATTTCTATGACTTGCTATAGGTTGTAAGTTAATCAGAGATGTAAACGAATGGTTTGATATATGCTCTACACTATGATGAGCATTATAGATTGCAAGAATATGATATTTCATAATTTTTATTAATTTCGAATGTGCAAATGGTAAAATATTTTCATAAATTTTACTTACATCCGTATAATCATCAGCATATTTATAATATTGACGTGAATATAAAGAAGGATTCAATGTCTTATCATGTTGTTCTTCGAGTAAGATTGTGTAAAATTTAGCATCCACTTCTATCAGACGCTTTTCAAGAGCATCGTATGCAATATTTTGATTATCTTGACTGATTAATTCTTTTATTTTATTAAAACATTTTTCTGTTTCATCATAATTATTTATCGATGCATAAACACGTCCTAAATTTGTATAAATTGTTATTAAATGTTTTTTATCAATTGGTTCACGTTTTTGAATTCGAAGTGCTTCTTCAAAATTTTCTAAAGCTTCATAAAAATATTTTTGTTCTAATAAAACTGCACCAATATTATTGTAACATTCAGCTAATGCATTATTATTTGATGAATCAAATCGTACTTGAAATTTTAATGCTTTTCTATAATATAATATTGCATCTCCAAATAATTCTTGTCGTGAATAAATTTCACCCATACAATTATAAGCTGATGCTAATGATGAATCATCGTTGACAATTACATGTGAATTATTTAATAAATTAATTAATGATTTTCTAACTGTACGATATTGTTCTAATTCAATTAAATATTTAGTTAATAATATATAGAGTTCTGGTTGAGTATATTTTCGTAGTTTTAATTTCATATCATCAATTATTGAATCATTGTATTCACAGGCTGTCGCTTGTATTGTATAAAAATGATTTGGTGCGATCGGATCACATATAGAATCAATTGAAAAGACTGCTCCAATACTAAATAAAACTTCTTTTTCTTCTGGATGATAAGAAATATGTTCAATACAAGCAAATTCTGTACATGATCGTGATGGATCAATAGTAATTTCATAAATCACTGATACAACATTTGGTCTTGTACATGGTTTATTAGCATAAGAAGTAGAAATTGTTCGATCAGTAGTTGTTGATATAAATCCATGCATTGATAAAGACATTCTCAATATTTTGCTCACATATTATTGAATTTTCATTGCTGATACTCAAATAGACATGTGACAGCTCTGTATCAGATAACTGAACTGGTTATTGAACTTAGTTTATAGAAAAAAGAATGAGTCATTAGATCCAGTTCACATGAGGAAAACTGATAAGCAGCTTTTTATGATTCAATTCTTCCAGTTCATTAAACTGACGAGAGCTGTCACACACATAAACTAAATTCTTTTCTAAAGATTCGCTGTGCAATTTTTTACAAAACAGCATATTTTATTCAATAAATATAATCTTCATCGTTTTTTACATAAACCACAGTTGCCTCGAACTATCATGTGTAAGTTTTTAAATTCCGATTTTTTCAAGTTTTTCTGTGTAGCCTTTTGATCATTGCGTTATCGTTCCTTCCGCTGTCTACAAGTCGCTAGTGCGATTTTCTAAAAGAACGAAGCACTCAGATTTCGGCATGACTCATTCGTCGCCAACGCCGAAAAGCTGTCGGCAACATGTCTAACTACCATACTAATAACTAATTATTTATTTGTCACCATTTATGTTATCCAATGTTATAGGTAATCAGTCAAGTGGCCCAAGACAAGTGGGAAGCAGAAAAATCAGCTGTCCGTAATTTCCAAGAAAAGTTTTATCGACAACATGCAGATACGAAAACAACGGCAGAAACGGTAAGAATATCTGAATTCTAAGCAATCCTGTAATTTCTTGTGCACTGTCTCAATTGACGTAAACTAAGGGAAAATAGCGGATGTTGGACTCTAGGATTTCACGAAATCCTATAGAATGACGTAAAGTCTCTTGATTACTAATGAAAAAGATCAGATATGTGCAGTTGATGAAACAGCAACGCTGATAAAGCATAAAATACCGAGCACTAGCAAAACTGCAAAAGGCGCATCTGATCTCTATTAATCATGGACAAAACCAAGAGTGACATTTTTCAATGACAGCGCAAAAGTTTTGTCCGAAAATTGTACATGCACGATTCTTGAGTAAGAAACCTTTTCTTTTGATTAGAAGCAGGATATATTGATCCAATAAAAAACTGAAATGGAATAGTATGCCACCAGGATATTTTAAACTTGCAGGTTTCTTTTTACCCTCGGTCCTGAATTCTTCTCGTTCTCCAGAATTGCAGCACTCTTGACTTTTGTGCTCCCATCTACCTCTAGCACCAGCCGTAATACCAGCACTCTTACGAGGGAATCTCTTGAGGTTATAAATCGCTCTTGAACTCGGACTACTTGTATCTTGTAGACCTCAGTGAATAGTGAAATACCCTAAGTTGGTTAAACCCCATGTTGGGTTTGTGGGGGGGTTTTTATTTTTTTTTGGAGATTGGTGGTATTGC